GAGTCAGAGTGGATTCGAACCCACTCTCAGCCATGTGGCGTATGGTCGCCTGCTTGGCTCAGTAAGCCGAACCAGTGCCCAAAGTGCAGCTTCTCAGAAACAGCTGGATCAAGAGGAGAAAAAAGAGAAATGCACACATTACCCCAATTTAGCATAACGTCACTGGCTGTACAGTGTTGTTCCAATATAGTTGAAATTTCTAACTTTACAAGGATCAACACTTAGAAAACATAAGGAAGCTAAAGAAGAGGGATTACATAAGGAATGTAGGGATTAAGACTCATTGCCAATATTAATAGGTTTCATTTGCACCAATAAATAATATGATGACTCTGTATATTATTTATGAATAAAAAATGAGGGAAATAGATCAAACAATTAATATGATCTCAATCCATTAAAAAGTAATTTGGGGATTTTAATTAATGGGAAATTTTGATAATTTATTTGTTTAATCAGTCTCATAAAATACTCTGGGCGTTCTATTTATAACTATGATAACTGACTAATAACTAAATTAATATCTAAGTTCTTTATAACAAAAGTTGTATAAGTATATAGTCTTATATATTTATTACATTAGCATGTGTAGTTAAGTGAATTTATTTACAAGAGAAACAATATAAAGTTATCGTTGTCTAATATTAAAACAGTTTGATTATTTGAATCATGCAAGTCTAAGAGAATGCAGACAGCACTGAACATTCAAAGTCCAGGCAAAAGCTTTAGTTTGGAAGCAGAAATTAAAAAATTCCTTCACCAAAAGTGAAATAGTTGTTGAGTTGTGCTCATCAGCAGAGACTCGGACTGACTGCATCATGTTGGTAATCTGTGTTTATACAATGGACGGCAGTTATTTTCAAGGTTTTACCAACCTGTCTGGAAGTGATAGCAGTCAATCCGAGCTCCACAGATCCACCAGTGCAACTACGCTGTGAGTGAAAGTGGTCACAGAGGTTGAGGGTGTTGCGTGCTTAACCTCTGGGTTGGAATGACTGGAACAAACAGAAAAACAAAAACCCAAATCGATGCTGGGAAGCCACTATTTTTCTCCCAGTAGTCTAGTGTGACTGGGCCATTATATAGGGATGATGGTAAGCTGAACTACTGCTGTGCTATATCCCACTGGATGACTCTAAAAGAACACACGTAGTTTCCGAGTCTTATTTCAAAAGACGCCTCTCCAGTCAACATTTTTTGTTCTGCCCACCTTCAGCTTTCTTTACCCACCAGTTGGGGCCATTACACATATAATATTCAGTTTGTCTGGTTCTGCTTGGAGGGACAGAATGTAACAAGTCCCTTTACTGACAGAGAGCTTTGACTGAGATGAATAAGACTATTAATAATTATAGTTTTAAGAAGTTCCCAAAGGAGACTGCCAAGCTGTTAAACAATGAGGCTCAAAGGGACTGTGCTCCCATCTGACTAACTGCTGGGGTTTATTATGAGACTGCATAATCAGGTTAAATACTTATGAATCTTCTTTGCAAATATAACAGCACTGTTGGGAGATTTGTCAAAACAGATTTGCAATTCTGTCATTCGTATCTCCAGGACAGTGCATTATGAAGGCGGAGCAGTGTCCTGTCATGCCAGGTCACTGTGGAGGCTGGAGACACTGCGAGTCGTGTGAGTATAAACAACATACATGTGCTCTGCATACATGTTTACAAACAGGTTAATGCAAAACAAAAACACATGTAAAACACATACAAAACCCAATGTAATACTAGTGTCAGTCACAAGACACGATAAAGGAAGACAAAGGAAAGTTGTGACAGTTGCGTCAGGCGGGGAGATTGAGCTGGAAAGGGTGTGCAGCAGGTTAGATAGAAACATGTTAACAAATGAAGAGACTGTGTTGAGAAGATGAAAACAGTATTTAACTGATGAATGTCGAAAATAAGAGAGAGAGGTTGAGGACAGTTAGTGAATCAGGAAGTGCAGAGGCTTAGAAAGGAGGAAGTGAGGGCAGTTGATTCAGAAAGCGCATCAAATCCGATTTTTTTGACCCTATGCGACCCATATCCGATCATGGTGTGACAGTGTGAACGGCACAAATCCGATATTTTCAAATCCGATCTGGGTCACTTTTGTATGTGGTCCTGAATCCGATACATATCCGATGTTTCAGAAAGCGACTGCTGTTTGAACGGTCATGTCGCATTAAATCCGTCTTTTATGTCACTGACACAAGACAGACGCCAATTATCAGCGCCAGAGAAGACATCGCGAACGCTTCCTGGCCCTCCTGTGTAGATGTTAGTGAAACTGTTGGGAATGTTGGAGAAACGTGAACATTTTATTTGTACTGTATAATCTGCAGATTCTGACAGAAATCTGCAACTATCCTTTGAAGCACCGCTCCTCTAAAACAGCAATAAACATAATTATTAGGTTATCTACATTATTATGTAAATAACAAAATAACTTAAAGCAAAAATTGGGAAACGTGAAGTCCAAAGTCTTTATATTAAGGCCATCAGTCAAACACGACTGTTGCTCTGGGTCTAAACAGAGCGCGTTGTGTGTGACGTCTTCTTTTGCGCATGTGGGCGCTTTGAGCGTTCACACTAGAGCACGTTTGCTGTCACATTTTATTTGTAGTGTGAACGAGCAGACAAAAAAATCGGATTTGATCAAAAAATCGGAATTGAGCATTAAGACCTGCAGTGTGAACGTAGCCTTGGAGAGTGAGAGGATGTACTGGTGAGCCATAAGATGAATGCATGTGAAAGAGCTGTTGAAACTAGGTTAAGAAGAGAGGTGACGATCAGTGAGCAGCAATTTGCAAGCTGAGAAAGAGCACTACAGACGGGATATTGGATGGAATTACACCTTCTCTTTGTGGATCCAGACAAAGCATATGATAGGGAGCTAAGTGAGAAACTGTGGTAGTGTATGAGGAACTCAAGAATGGCAGGGAAGACTTTGCCAAAAGTATTCATTGGTCTGCCTTTGCACACATATGAACTTAAATGATACGCAGGTGCAGGCTGTGCAAAGATGCCCCTCAGACAATCCAACACATGACTGCAGGGTGCAAGATGCTAGCAGGCAGGACATACATGGAACGCCATAATGCCATAAAAGTGGCTGGCATCGTATCCAGGAACATCTGTGCTGAATGTGGCCGGGAAGTCCAGAGGTCAAAAAGGGATCATCCCAGATCCTGTGGGTCTTCCAGATACAGACAAACTGGTGATGGCTAAGAAACTATCAACAGTGGTGGACGAGCAGGTGTGTGGGGACACCTGTCACTCACAGTGGCAACTTTAACCACTGACATGTTGGAAATGTAATAATTTATTTCAACATATGTATATGTATGTACAAAAAGAAATGTTTACATTATATGTTATATTTAGTAATTCGATCTATGGTTCAATGACTAAATAATACTGTATAATGCAGGTTTAAAGGCACTGAAACCATTGATGTTCTGTATGTGTAATTCTTCATAACATGCACTATTAAATCAGTCAGGTTCCTTGACTTTTTTTGGATTTCTGTGTCCAGGTGGAGTGGGAGTCATATCCGTTGGGGTCAGCCATTCAGACTGAGACATGTGACCACAGGGAAGTATCTGAGCATGGTAGAAGACAAGTCTCTGTTGCTGATGGACAAAGAGAAAGCTGACGTCAAGTCTACAGCCTTCTGCTTCAGGTCTTCCAAGGTATAGAGTTCAGTAGCAGTGCTGTCTGTGAAGGCCATAATCTATGAAATCATTGTGTTTAGAATGAAGGAAATTCTCTGTTTTTATAGGCTCACTTGTCTAAGGGAATTTTCCTCTTTGTTTCTCCTTCAGGAAAAGCTGGACCTGGGTGTGAGGAAGGACGTGGATGGGATGGGCACTCCTGACATAAAGTATGGTGACTCTGTGTGTTACATTCAACATGTTGACACCTGTCTGTGGCTTACTTACCAGACGGTTGATGCCAAGTGTGCACGCATGGGTGGAGTACAGAGAAAGGTACCGCACCAAACCATAACTTCACCTATTACACCTTTATAAATACTTGTGTCTGTAAATATGGTCCATGGTGAGGTTGTGGACTTTCATTATGCTAGAGTTAACGTAAAATTAAGATGAATGTAAAATTCATGCACTTCTTGCAAGTCAGAATGGGGAAGAGTTTTTTCAATTAAAAAGGGGGATGAGCTGTGTTTTCATCGACCCAATAGCGTTGGATTTACCTCAGATACTTTGAATCTGCTGCATTATTTGGACAATGACACCATTTTTAAATGTTATTAGTTTTTACTTTTTGTACACAACCACATTCGATTTTAAATCAAACATTTCAAATGTAATTCAAGTGAAAATTTCAGGCTTAATTTATTAACACCATTGTAATAAAATATTTGTGGGTCTTTCACTAACTGCAAATGAAGCTGACTTGGTGACTGACTTGACCAATGAAGAATATCTATCTTTGTCTTCATCTTTCTTGGGTTGCAGTATGTGTTTGGCCATTAGCCATTTACTCTGCTGTACAAGCAGTTTTGTGGTATTTGGCTGAATCTGTGCAGAGTAGACACCTCTGCACTTCAGAAATCATTCTGATTCTTGTGTCATACCATCAAGAAACGTTGTTGACATGGTTCCACTGACAGCCATACATGCCAACGCAGAGGGAAACCTTGAAAAATTAACAACACATAATAACAACATATAAGTATTTATATGTTTAACATATTAGTCCGGGTCTCTGTAGCAATAGTTAGTGAAAATGAAAGAACTGTCACTAATTCTAAAAGCTGCTGGATGCTGTAAAAGACTTTACTTTTTTCACTATAGGAACTGTTTTTGTGCAAATTTCCTATAAATATTCTGAAGATTCCTCATGTATCCAATCAATGCATCACCCATCAACTGCAAAGCAACTTCCTCTGTTACTGAGCAATCTTAATACATTTCTGAATCTGCTGAACCTGGAGAAACTTTGTTTCTTATTTAGGCAATCATGCACCATGAGGGGCACATGGACGATGGGCTGACACTATCGCGATCACAGCACGAAGAGAGCCGCACTGCAAGGGTCATCCGCAGTTCTGTCTTCCTGTTCAACTGCTTCATCAGGTGCAGCGAGTAGTGATTTTCAAGTATGCATGTTACACTTGCCTGTAAGTTACTGTGGCATCATTATAAAGAGAAAAATGGAAATCACTGGGTTGAATAACAATCAATCAATCAATCAATCAATCAATCAATCAA